CGTGTCGGTGCGGGACTCCGGAGCGCTTAACCTGCCGGCGTCTTAAACGGGATGGAAGCTTTCCTAGTCATTTTAATTGTGCTGCTTTCCTAGTCATTTTAATTAGCGTCATTATTGTAATGATTCTGCTGAAGTGGTCTGATTGCCCACCTGCCTTCTTTCATAGTTTCACAGCCCTTATAAGTCTTTGAGACGTTTCAGAATGGGATGTGCTGTACAGCATCTGCAGTACTTATTCCGTGTGTGTGTGTGTATTTGAGCTTGTTCGGTGGTGAAATCTCCACAGGCTCAAATTGCTTCAAAGACTGAAAGTGATACATCACAGACCTTACTTTCTTGCATAAAGTAGTGTTCCTATGTGGTACTTACCTTGGTCGTCTCCATTTGGAGAGCGGCAGCATCGTACTTCAGAGATAACTGCAGTTTGAGTCACAGGTGTGTAGACACCTAGTGGGGAGAAGAGTCGGTCTCTGAGCAAATTTCCCCTTCAGTTCTCATTATTGCAGTGACTCCTTGAGCATGTTAGTCTGCTTTTCTATCTGTGAAGCTCATACTGCAGAGGAAGAGAAGTTTGTGTTAGGCGCTGTTTCTCTAGGGATTTTTGGAGTAAGTGTGAGATGGATGGCAGTACAGGGAGATATGGTTATTAGATGTGCTAATGTAAAGGTGGAGAAGATCTTCGCTGTCTTGTGCAGAGGTGCTGTATCAGTAACACACGCGCACCCCTCTGGCTGGGCTGCTATTAACATGGATGTGCAGAGTTGAAGTTCGTGTTCTCAGTTACCAAAGGAATGCTAGCTTGTGTGGAAGGAAATGCTTGGGTACCAGTGGAGTGGCAGCCAGACATCTTTTTTAATAGGGGAAGAAGGGGAGAGTGGATGAGCAGTTTTCATGTCCCACTTCCTTTGCCACTTAAATGTGCTGGAATATCTTGCATCCTTCTGTTGAATTTTAAAATATATACCCATTGAAATGTCTAACATTAGCCATTCTGCCCAGAGACCAGAATTCTGCCTGAACTTAGGAATCTTTCATTGGGATCAAGCTCTTAGAGAGTAAATAAAAAACAAATGAGCGTTTGATTCTCTTACAATACTTCTTCCTCCTTTTCCATTCCACCAGCCAAATGGAAATCCAGTAATACATCATCTCAAATATAACAATGTTTCTTCCCTGAAGTGTTTGGTTTGGTTTTTTTTCCTCTACTTAAGATGGACTCCAAGCTATTTATTTTAGGACTAGTCAGCTTAAGTCAGTTTGAGTCAAAATGCCTGAGTGCAGTGGCCATGTAACTTCACTTGGAGCAAAGTGAGTTTGTTTATATGGAATCTTGGCAGAACAGTAAGTAAAGAACTGTCTAAGAGGGCTCTTTGGATATGCTGCAGTGTTACTTGAGCTGGTGTGGAAAACTGCTGTTTGTCCCTGTGTTAGCTCTGTCTGTAAGCTTCTTGAAGTCTGAGTCTTTGTTCATCCCTAAACCTTACACATGGTTGTGATAGAAAAAAAGGCATAAATCCAGGAAATTCAGAATGGCTCACCCACAAGAGTGTCCCCAGCTACACAAGTGGCAGATCAGTCAGGAGTTCAGATGCTGGGCTCCCTGGGCTGAGAGCAGTGCTGATGAGTGAGTATGAGCAGGTACTGCAGTTCTGGGCCCCAGGGAAACTGGATTTAGGGAAACTTTGCTGCCATAGCTGCATTGAGTTGTTCTAACATGCAAGTAAACAGGACTTTTTGTCCTATCTGATTTGGGTTTTGAGTTTTTAAACTATGCTTTAAAACTGTCATAAGCAGTTTTTATCTTACTACAACATTTCCAGTTCTGTATTTTCAGATGATGCATAAAAGACACAAGTACTCATTTAAAATATATGGCCATAAAGTTGCTATGATACATTTGATAATAAAAGATCAGAGGAGTAGGTCAAGTGAGTCAAATTATGCAGTGTTTAGAAGACTTACTTCGTTGACTGCCAAAACGCCCATAGGCAGTAGGGGTGAAATAAGTAGTTGTAGCAGAGCACTTGTTGAGCCTTTCTTGAAAAGAAAATAAATATTTCAGAATATTTAAAGTAGTCACAGTGGTAATTTTCTAGCAGGTTTTGCTGTGTGCATAGCTCGTTTTGATTGGAAATGTTTCTATTAGTTAAAACACTTAGATGTAAAGTGTCTAAGTGTGTTTTGTTTGCTTGCTACATGAAATGGGAGGAACATATGCTCTTGAAAAGGCTTCTCTGATATTTCATTGATCCTTTGATACTTGCGCTTTCTCCCTAGTTCTTTAGAGTGGGCTTTTCTCCAGTAGAAGGGACGAAACAAAATATCAGTGAAGCTCTATTTGTGTTAATTGCAAAGTCTGTGATGTTTGGTAGCATAAGCTAAGCAGCATAGTTTGGTTTTTCAGAAGTGGCTGCAGAAATTTCTCATTAAAATTTTTGGTGGGAGCTGGATGCCTAATACACGTGGATAGATTTGCAAGTTATTAAAATAAAAAGGTTGTGTTCAGGCTTTTCAAAATGGGAAGTCTAATTCAGGCTCAGATAATTCTTTCCTACAGCTAAAACTGGTTGCAAGGGATGATAAGGAAGTTCTTCAAGAACTTAACAAGATTTTCTTCTGTGTTCTTTTGCAAGAGGTGTTGTGCAATATGCTGGGGGAATCTGATGGACCAAAGAGGAGCCACATAAAAATTAGGGATCAGGTTCATTCACTGGCAAGGGAAGCCCATATACATTCCTATAAACACTTCTTAGCTTGTCAGTTAGTCATGTTTCAAAGGACTTGATGACTGAGACATTAGAAAAAATGGTGTGGAAAAGAGCTGTCAGATGTTCCCTGTTCCAGCCCTGTCTGCTGGTGTCCCTTTACAATGTAAAAGGGAGTGTTTCTCCAAAAAAAAATAAACATTCTGTACACTGAGTGCATAGAACACAGTCAATATTTTACCTGCTGTTGTTACACAGCTCCCTTGGGTCTTTTTTTCGGATGTATTTTAAGAGTTTCTGTGCAACTCTGAGTAGTTTGCACTCTTTGGCTTCCAGTGGGCTTGGTTTTTTTAAGCAAATTAGAAAGAGTAGCAGTTGAAATAATGTTTAGCAAGCTTTCACTGTTCTATATGTCTTTAAGCAACTGTTTTCTAAAGAGATTAATTTTTTTTCAGTTATATTTTTTCTTTTTATTTTATGGTTGGGCAACCTTGAGCCAAATGTTCAGGCCTGTGTTCTCTTGCCTTTAGCGTAATTTAAGCATACACCCTGATACTTTACTCCTGCTGGGGCAGCTTAGGTGGTCTGGGTGTGCCTGTTTCAGTTGCTGATTGTTTTTCTAATATTATACCATAAACACATTAAAAAAACATCTGGGGAAGCCCCTCTTAAAAAAAAAAAGAAAGATGGTACTCATAAAGTGAAAGCATTTTGGACTTACTGGTTCTCCTGCAGATTATGAAACAACCCCTTTGTCCAAAAGGTTTTTAAAATATATGCTTTATGGTTGCCCATCCTCACCCTTGCCATAACCAGGAGGAGATTGAATCCCCCTGTGGTCAATGCTACTTACAATGAGCTCCTCCTCTGTCCTGGCAGATGTTTTCTGGAGAAGAGCTGTGTCTGTCTGTCTTCAGGGAGATAATTTATAAAATCTTGCTTCCAGTTAGATATTGCACTACAGAGATAGCTTCAGGGCTCAACCCTCTCACCCTTGGACTTCAGTAGCCATAAGACACAGAGAAGGAAGCATGCCTCATACTGGAGGGGTGCAAATTTGGTTCAAGTAATTTGACAGAAATCCTTCATAAAAATGCAAACATTAGCTGTCAGATTTTTTTTGTAAGGTCGCTTTATTTTATTGTTACATAAGACTCTTTTGCGGAGGACAATCTTTTCCAGGGCTGCAGAAAGCTTAAGTCATAAATGGAATCCCAAGCTCACAATCATCAAGAGAATGTGAAATGATTGAATCAGTTTTCTCTTCTCTTTCCAGGAAAAGCATGTGTGTAGAGTTTGGTGGGAGAACATTTAAGGTACGTGGGCAATCTGTGGCAAATTCATCTGAGGAAGGTGTGACTGGCTGCAAGAGTTGGCTGAACTTGTATATGGAGACACAGAAGTGCCAGCAAACCCAGCAAAGGAACTAATTGGAAGAATATTGCTAGACATAGAAGAAGTGGAACACTTACTTCTGCAACAGTCATTGACTCAGAATAAAAACATCAGTAAAAACATCAGCAGTGAAATGACAGATCTTGGTGCTTTTTGATTCTCTGGTGGATTTTATTACTTAAGAGACTTTTTCATTATTCCATTGAATACATCTTGAATTTCTCTGTACATAAAAATATAACTGGACAATTGCATTTTGAGACTGTTTAATAACACTTTTGAATGTTAAATCGTTTGCCAAGATGAGTGCTGAGGGATATCAATATAGAGCGTTATATGACTACAAAAAAGAGCGAGAAGAAGACATTGACTTGCACTTAGGAGATATATTAACTGTGAATAAAGGTACCTTACTAGCACTTGGATTCAGTGAAGGGGAAGAAGCAAAGCCTGATGAAATCGGTTGGTTAAATGGCTTTAATGAAACCACAGGGGAGAGAGGGGATTTCCCAGGAACTTATGTAGAGTACATTGGAAGAAAGAAAATATCTCCCCCAACTCCGAAGCCTCGTCCTCCTCGTCCTCTTCCTGTAGCACCAAGTCCTGCAAAAGCTGAAGCAGAGAGTGAACAGCAAGGTTAGTATTGTTCTCAGAAAGTGTGTTCCCCCCATGTTTTTGCATATTTTTGTTTCGTAGACTTGTCTGACTCTACATTGATGTGTGTAACACCTGCTGATCAACTTTTTTAGTGCATGGCTCATTTCAGTCAACTAAGAATTTTTTGTACTCTTAATATGTAGCTCACACACTTGATAGTTTCATGTGCTTTGTCTCAGCCACCACAGAGACCAATAACTTACTGTGAAGTACATCTCAGAGGGTGGAAAGTATGCTTATAATTCACCACTGTAAAGACTTAAATGGAAAGTGAACTGGTTAGCATTTATTTTAGGTTTCTGAGAAGCTGGTGGAAGTGTTTCCTTCTGTGGTTCATCAGACTCACTATTGAGAAACTTCTCTGTCAATCTGACAGTATGCACTCTGAAATAAAACAGCAGGTTCCTATCGCAAATGTCTTGCTAACAGCAAAAAATGTGTTCTTGTCATGGAGGTTTACCTGTGGCATTAAAGGTAAGAATGCATAAAACTGAGCAATGAAATGATCATAAAGAGAAATTCAGATTTAACCTTTTTGGGGGGAGTATGGATTGCAGTAGAAAGAAAGCACTTATATAAAAATTACATGTATTTCCTATGTTTAACCTAAGTTGCTTTCTAACCTACATTTGCAACGGTATGTTAGACAGAACTCAGAATTTGATCAGGACTCTTCTGTTTATAGGAGAAAAAGATATTCTCTTTTGCAGCTGGAAAAACTTTTGGATAAAAAGACCCAAAACAAACAAAAGCACCCTTCCTCCAAGTGATTTTGTCTTCTTTACCTACTGACATTCAAATAGTTGGGGTTTACATACCAATAAGCCAAGTCCATCTTAGGATAGGCTTTACATTGGTCTTTCACTTTTGAGAAGTCTAGAGTGGCTTCTGTTGCTTCAACTTCTAACACTTCTTAAATTCTCAGTGTTTCCAGTTGTAAGAAATGCAAGTTGTAGTATGTGATCCTGGTTTTCACAGTGACACCTTACTAGTGAATAGTATCATCACCCCCTGCCTCCAAAGAAATGTTTGCAGCATCACTCGCAAAGTTGTGGTATCGGTTTATCAGCTTCCATCCCACTGTGCATAATCTAAGTTTATGTTCAGCTGTGCTGATAATCAGTGAAGATAAGAACAGAAATGTAGAAAATTGTATGTGGCAATCAACTGGAAAGTTAGCAGAAGCATTTCTAGGTTGGTGGGGGCTTACTAAAGAGTGAATCTGAAGTGGTTTTTATAGCAATGTTCTTAAGCACTCAAGCATTGCTTGCAGGTGTGTACTGGCTAGGTGTACATCATGGTTAGAATGAGGGTGAGGTCAGATGAGGGTGTAGTGTCAGTTTAGGTTAAACTGTCCCTATCTCTTAAGTCCTTGAACTCACAACCTCCAGTCATTAGAGTCTCACAGTTTATCTTCCATTAGATTAGTTCTGAAGATGGGGCATTTGCTTTTGAAAGAAAATATTATCATTAATTTGATCTTTCCTTCTATTGGATGCATGTCCTGATTAGGTAACACTGACTTTTTCTTAGCCCACCTGTGGAGATAGTTGTCACCATCATTTCTAACTGCAGAGTAAACATGGCTCTTTGGACACACACCTCAAGGCTGATAGGTCACTTTGTGCAGCAGAGAATGAAAAGAAAACCTCATCCTTTACATGCACATGCTGTTGAAGTAAGCAGCATCCCAGGCTTTGATGTGTTTATTGCTTTAAAAAGTAGAGCTTTGTAACTTCTTTGATTTCTGTACTCATGGTTGTTGGATGCTTCTGTTCACAGCTCTATGCTGTGAGCTGGCCATGGCACTGTGCTGGGAGGTCCTGGTGTTGTCTTACTGTTTCCACGCCTGCCCCAACACTGTTTGTAACAGACATTTTTGGGAGTTTCAGCTGCTGGTAGTTACTTTGGGAAGCCCTGCTGCAGACCTTGAGGGCTCTCTTTATATGCAGGCTTCTCTTTCTCCTTGAGATGAGGCATTGCCCCAAGCCTTCATGCATAGATCACTCCTATGTGAGGTTTATTGCCTTTAGACAGAGAACTATTTACATACAATGTGATTATTTTTAATACCTTGGGACTGTAGGAATTGAAAACAGGAAAATATTCTAGTTTAACTGGGAATCTTCATCTCAAAGTCTGCGCACATAATCCAGCTGTGCTCCAAAGTGTTTAAGAATCAGCTTGCAATCCAACCTTGGGGTTTTTTTCTGATTAAAAAAAATAAGCAAAGTTCCTATAACTCCTTTTGAATTAAAGATTTTAAGCTTCATCTAAGAGGCTAGGCACCTTCATAATGCCCTAAGATCAGGGATTAGATCCCCCTGAACAGCATTAGGGTCAACACTGAAATTTGAACTCCAAATAGGGCAAGAGCTATTTGGAGTTCAGGTTTAATTACTTCTAAAATAATGTATGTTTGCTTAAAAGAAATTGGGAAAAGTAGTAATGAGTAGTCTCTTTACAGATGTTTTTACTGTAGGGAACTCAGGCAGAGAATGCTTTGAATCTTAGAAGCAAATTTGGGAAATGTACTGAAAGAATATTGTAAAAAACAGAATGAAGGTAAAATTTTTGTTAGCAGAATTGCTTCAAATATGATACCTATGGTGAAAACAGAGGTGCAGGCAGAAATACAGTTCAGATAAACAATACTTTAGCAATGTATGTTTGATGTGCACATTGCTTCACTATTTTTGTGTATATTATTTGGGGCAGGGAACAGCACAGTTAATATTGTCCAGCAGCCAATGTAATGGGCCGTGGGCCAAAAGATTCTTCCCAGGATGATGCTTCTCTCTGCGCCCTTAGAGTGTATTTCAAATAAATTAATGTGTAGTCTGAAACTTGCTTGACCAAATACAGTCAAGTTTACATTTTCACTACTTGATGAATTGAAAGTGGTGTGGATTAAAATGACAAATTAATGGGTAACTGGATGCAGACTTCTTAAACATACCTCAATTATTTGTAACCCATATACTTGTTTAAATCTGTGAAGAGTCTGTTCTGTGTGTGCTCCTGTTGTGTAGATGTTGAATAAGAGTATAAGAAACTTAACTTGAGATTTTAAAGAATATTTATGCATAATCATAGGAGTTTCTTTAATTTTACCATATAACTAGATTTATTTTTAAAAGAAAATACTTTTACTACTCTTTTATACTTATTCATTCTGAATGTTTTTGCCCTAGCCTTTTTAAGCTTGATCACTTGCTCATCCATGTCCAGATTGTTTTGTATTAGATCTAGTTGGCAGTATTTAGACACAATTGTATTGTCATACAAAAAGTAACCAGATTTTGCAGTCAGTGAAGCTAGTAACAGGCAGAACTGCCCACCAGGTCCATTCCTTACACAATTAGTCTTACTTATAAATAGAGAACTTTGCAAATATTAAAAGCCAATCTGAAAACAAAAAAACTCCTTACCTGTTGATGGTCTCAAAT